TATCTTTAAAATCACATATATAGCATGTGCATTATCGGGAAGATAGATTGGAAGCAGAATAGCCTGGACTTGAACTAGGAATTCCAATATGGGAAGTGCATGTCCCAAACAGTGGCTTAACCTGCTGCACCACAACCCCTGTCCACATGGTGTTTTTTGTTTTGTTTTGTTTTTTAAATGATAGGAAATTGTTGGAAGATTGTTAAATTAAAAGTACTAAAAACACATTAATTGACAACCATATTCCATACTTGGGTCTAATAGGAGATAAAAAGTAGAAAAAAATCCTTTCTTCACTAAGCTTACAGTTTAGCAGAGAAAGACAATAATAATCATGTCTCTCTACTAAAAGGTAAGTTCTGAAAGGGAAATGTTTTTTTCTTCTTTTTCCTTTTTTTATAAGAACATGCATTTGCAGTAGGCAATTCCTTTAACTATTATGCACTTCCACCTGCTGTACATTGAAATCATCTATTACTGACACTTGAAGCTAATGGTTGGCCCAAATCTATAAGAAAAATGTAAAAGCCTACAACAGGAAAGTCAGTAGATAGAATTAGTTTCTATTGCAGCAACTGGTTCAGAGACCATAATTGATATTTATTATCTATCTCCCCCCAACACATGATCAGAGTTCACAAATACCCAGCCTTTCAGCAGGTCTAGGATGCTTACACAGGACTTCATCTTTGAAGGTCAGAGCCTGTGGTTTCCTTGTCCTTATCATTCTGTAATTGCTATAATTGTCCTTCTGATGCTAGTCACTGTGGACAAAAGTGACAGGAGAGGCCCCAGTGACTCCCCACAGTCCAGACACACCCGTCTCTGTGCACGTCATAAAATGGCAGTGGTGGCTTCCTTTGATAATAAGGATCAGTGACTTGGGCTGAGGACTCCAAAGTGATCAGGCATTGCAAGGAACCTCACTAGGACTCCTGGTGGAAGAGAATCCCACTGTCCTTCAAACACCAGCAGAGCCTTGATGGAAAATCATCCTAATGACTAAATGAACTGTGATAAATCACATCATGGCCTTAACCTTCATGTCCGTGTTAGAAAGTTAGTTTTAATTCTCATGAACAATAAACTCCATAGGACTATCCAAATTAAATGGTTGTAGTTTGCATTGCTTTACTGGATCACGTGTTAAGTATTGCTGGACTAACGCAAGCTATTAACTGTAGTTTTGTTAGAAATTTTTATTAGTATTTATTGTAATATTTTACATGTATGAGTCTATTAAAAAGAATTTGGAAGGGTCATGTTTACTATATAACAACATTAATCTAAACTTTTAATTTGTTCTTATTAGTGTCCTTAACTATTTAAAGTATTAAAACGCATATATTTTAATTGATTAGAATACCATTATACATTTTAAAATATAAACAGAATTATTCATTCTTTTTTTCAAAATACATACAATGCATCAGTTATAGAATCAGGTAATGATAATATAAACATGAATTAGACATAATTAAAATATCATATGAACATATCCATCTAAATCTCTAAATTTTGCATGAAGACTTTCTTTTTTTTTTAAATCAGGAGATACCAAGATCTGTCAGCTGACATCTTGCAGCATGAATGAAGATTGGAATCATGCAAAATTTTTGTAATGAGAGTAGAAACCTCGTTCGTTTTCATTTTTATCAGGAGTCTGAATTAAGCTTATGCTCACTTAGAAATTCATTACCTTTCCAGACAAATCTAATCTCCATTTCTAGGTCATTCTCCACCCTTTCCATTCATTTTCACTAAGATGTAATGGAATATTGGCTCAGGGAAAAGCTATTTTCCCATTCTCATCCAATTAACATTCTTGACTGAGAGCATAGGTTTTGAGTTTAAAGATTTTAAAATAGATGGAAGGAGATGCTGGGCAGGCACTTTTACTCTTATTGATGTATGAGTACAAGGTTTAAATTTTTTGAGCAGTAGGTATCTTTTATTTTTACTTATGAAAGGGAACAAATTTCATGTAGTTCAGATATACAGTGTTAAGAGCATAATGCTACTTCCCATATTACCCTCACTCTCACCCTTGCTCCTCCTTCTTTTCTTATTTTTCTTTTAGTTTTTACAATGACATAATTTCAATTTGTTTTATAATCACAAGCTTAGCCATCAACTAAATAAATAATTCAACAAGTAGTAAGTAGAAATAACACTGTTTTGAGATTTGAAAATTGTTTATATCCCTTTTCTCTACTGTTGAGGGACAGTGTTTGTTTTTATTCTTTCTTTGCACCATTTGTTGAATACTTTATGTAGTGTAGGGTTAATCTAACAAGTATAAAGTAAACTGAAAATAGATCTCTGTAATAATTAAGAGTGGGAATGGGAGAGGTAGGAGGAAGAGGTGTGGGGCATGGGTGCAAGGGAGGGTAGGGGGAAAAGTAGCACTATGTTTCTAAATCTGTATATGTGAAATACATGAAATTTGTGTATCTTAAATAAAGGTTTATAAAATAAAAAAAGGAAATGCAAATAAAAATTATAATGAGGTTTTACTCACCCAGTTAGAATAATTATCAATCAAGAATCAAGAAATAGGTTTCTTTCTCAGTTATAACTTTGTCCATAAACAAGGGAATTAAAAAGAGGACACAAAAGCACAATTAATTAATTCAAAAGATACATACGAGGTTCTCTCTCTTTCAAAGAGCTTTCATTATGGAGTTTGTAAAAAGATATTATATATAATTTCCCTTGTTCCTATTTGAATGTTTTCACAAAATCCAGTTGACAATTTCAAACTCCCAAGCCCTTCATGTTGTCATTAATATCATCTTAGTTTCATGTACTGCCAAGTAACCCAAGATCCATGCTCTTTCCCTGTTTGACTAGTTCTAATGTGTTAACAAAACAAGAACTTACAAATGCCAGTTCCTCAACTACCTATTATCTACTTGAAAATTCCCGCTTACTCTATACTGTAAGGTGAATTTGAATTTTCAACTTGTCAAACAGATCAATATTTTAAATCTTAAAATCATGAAAATTTTCCGCAAATTATTATGTTGTGAAGAAATCATCTGATTGTGAAATCCTTACAAAACCTTTCATATTACAGTATATTTTCTTATTTATCTTTAAAATAAAGTCTTATTTACTAAAAGCAATATAGCTATACAATTGTGCAATTAATAAAAATATTAGAGTCCTATAAAGCTCTACCCACACAAGTGGAGTGAATTTTTATGCTTAGTGAAATAAGTCACTTCCAAAAGATAAATGCCATGTTTTCTTTGACATGTTATAGTTAATAAAGAATGGAAGAAACAGTATAAAAATTAAACTGACATCTTATTATTTGACTGCTGTTCTTAGCCCTTGTTTGTACTCCTGTGACACAGTGGTCTTTCTACTGTTTTACTTGTTGAACATTATGACTAATAGTACATTAACCTGCCATTATAAAGTAAATTGAAACTATGCTATTGCAAGAATTAAGGTAAAAAAAAAGAAAGGAAGAGAGGAGGGAGGAGTTAAGGATGGAAACAGGGAAATAAGTATAGTTATTATGAAATACATTGTCTCTCCCCCTCTTCGCGGAGGAACGACACAGGACCCTGCGCTGTTCTTTTGTCTGCTCGGCCCTTCCCGGGTTTGCTGCTGGTTCTTCCCGGGTTGGCTGCCGTCCCTCCACCTCCGTGGAGGGGCGGGCCCCCTGCCACTTTCCCCACTTCCACAGGGGAGCGGCACACCGCCGGCTGGCTCTCTCGGGGGCTGCTCAGGTGTTCCTCAGGTGTTCCTTTAGATAGATGTTCCTGGTGCATGTTGTCTCTCTCCTCCTTTATAGTCCTCTTCCACCAATCCCAACTCTGCTACCCACACGCCAAGTACGCTGCTCTCCTCCAATCAGGAGCAGGAGCAGCTCCTGCAGGTCATCACTCAAGTTGGCAAGAGGCAGCTGTGTAAAAGCTGTTTACTCCTCTCCCAGCGCCATATTGTGGGAGAGCAGATACATAGAATAAGTCTTAATTCCAGAAACTTAGTCTGGTCCAAGTTGCTCCCCACAATACATGAAATCTGTTCTCTCTATATTAATAAAAGTTCTCCTTATATTAATAAATAAAAGTTTACAAAATAGGAAGTGAAGACATTTAATGTAAATTTGGTTATTTTATTTTTGACATATGACCTAAAATCACAAGTTGGATATAACATTATTTAAAATAATTAGCGATATAAATGATTCCATTAATGATTAATATGCAGAATTCACAAATGTATACCACTAGGACAAATTAAAAGCCCACTAACTCCATTAGAACAGTGACAGCCTATAACACGTTTTCTAGCAATAGAAGTACAGACAAAATTCAAGATTATTCAAGTAAACTAGAAGCAGCAGCAGAGTGCTCTGGATAATATGGTAGAAAACATGCCAATGATGACTTTGGTGTTGCTATGGTTTGAATGATCTTATCTTCAAAAATTCACATTGGATCCCCAATAGTGTTAGGGGATGAGAATTTTTGGGAGGCATTTGGGCCATGAAGGCTTTCATGAATGAGCTAATGGAACAATAGAAAGTTGAGTTCATTCTCTTTTGTCCTTCTGCTTCCCGCTGTGTGAGGACACAGTCTACCCACTGGATGATACTGCATTCAAGGCGCCATCCTGTGAGCAAAGGCTTGGCCACGCCATCGCCAAAATTCCCAGCACCTTGACCTTCCCAGCCTCCAGAACTGTGAAAAGCTTTCTGTTCTTCATTAACACCTAGTCTTAGTTATTTAGTTACAATAGCACAAAGTGGATGAAGGAAGTGATTTTAAAAAGAAGAGGAGAGATAGGTACTAAAAGAGATTTTCGAAGTGACTACTTCATAATATTTAAAAGAAACAAAATCAATATTTATAATTAACGATTATTATAATATTTTACATATTTATTTGAAAGGCAGAGTTACAGAGAGGCAAAGGCAGAGGCAGAGGCAGAGAGAGAGAGAGAGAGAGAAAGAGAGGTCTTCCATTCATTGATTCACTCACCAAATGGATGCAACAGCCAGAGCAGGGGCCATCCAAAGGCAGGAGCCAGGAGCCAGAAGCTTCTTCCAGGTCTCCCATTATGGGTGCAGGGGCCCAACAACTTGGTCCATCTTCCACTGCTTTCCCAGGACATAGCAGAGAGCTGGATTGGAAGTGGAACAGCTGGGGCTCGAACCAGCATCCATATGGGATGCCAGCACTGCAGACAAAGGTTTTATTCATTACACCACAGAACTGGCCCCATGATTATTATTTGTTACTTACTGAATCTCTCTAGACAGATAGCACTAAAAAGCTAGAAAATGCAAAAAAATTGTGTTTGGATTTTTTCAAGGAGGTCACCTGATGAATGTGCCTATGTAATAGTAAACATCAATATTTGCATACAAGTCAGTGACTGATATTTGTACCTATTTACAATATTATTTTTGTATATACTGAAAAAATAGAAATGTTACTTGTGAACATGTTAACAAGTGCTCAATATTTGTCCCTATTATCAAATAATCTTATCTGATCATAATCTGTGATCTGCATGTTGTCATCTATGTACCAGGGAATTTGCATGTTATTTGAAATAGAGTGGAAACCAGCTCTACTGAAGTTCAAAGTCATTGTTCTGCCATATAATCTTATACACAACCCTCTCTCTTTTCTTACAGTGGATACTAATATAATTTTATTATCATTGAGTTCATACTCATAACTCTCCTGCTTCTCTTGACCCCTCAAGATTATAAATTTCTTGAAAGCAAAGACCATTTCTGATGTTCCATACATAGCAAACTACTTGGCACATAGGTGATATTTTAAAAGTTTCCTGAATTAAAGATTAGTGATCAAACCATCTCAAAAGAATTTATTTAAACAAATTAAACTTCATTTTAAATATTGTTTCATCTGGGGGGTGGCCATTGTGGTTCAGCAGGATAGTCTACTGGTTTGAGTATTGGCTACTCCACAACTCTGATCCAGCTTCCTGCTAATGCTCCTGGCAGACAGCAGATGAAGGTCCAGACACCTGGGTTCCTGTCATTCATGTCGAAACCTGGATTCAGTTCCTGGCTCCTGACTTCGACCTGTCCCAGTCCCTGGGTCAAGATCAGTCCCTGGATGTTGCAAGCATTTGTAAACCAGTGGATAGGAGTCTCTCTCTCTCTCTCTCTCTCTCTCTCTCTCTCTCTCTCTCTGTGTGTGTGTGTGTGTATGTGTGTGTATGTGTGAGAGACTCTGCTTTTCAACCAACTAAACAAATCTTCAAAACCAATGTATCATCTACTGACTAAGAAGCTGGGGAAATTGATTTTTAAAAATAAAACAGTAGTCTATTTTACAAAATTTGACCATTACATTATCTTCTAAGTAAAGAGAGCCCTAGAGTAATATTAATCAAATATACATAACATGTAATCTAGTTTTAAATGTTACCCTTATGATTTCCAGTTCTACAAAGCATGAGTGTAACCTTGTTGGTAACTTTCAGTGACTATCAACCATCAGTCTGCTCAGGAATTTCAAAAATATCTTCTTAAAGTTATACAATGTTTGACCTGTCAAATTAGCAAAAATTCACAATGTCATTATATAATCCTGGCAAGGGTTCTTTCAATGATTGGCACTTTCTCCCCTACTAGTAGCTGTGTAAATTTTCACAGAGCTTTTGGAAAGCAATTTGGCAATATATGCTAACTTTAAAAATGTTCATCTATTTTGACTCACAAATTCTAATTTTATGAAAAACACTGAATTAATATTTAGGGAGATAGTACAAAGTGGTTATACATTTATATTATTTCTATTAATTGCAAAACTGGATTTCATCTCCAAATAGAGGAGAATATGCAAATGCATTCCCTTAAATCCATTTGAATATTATAAAGATATTACAAACATATTTTAGAGAATATTTAAACATGGAAAATTTTCATTCCATGTTAAATGAAAACAACCAGTATATAAGTCACAGAATAGTATGAATTTACACAAATTGTGCTGTAAATACTGGCCCAGAAAAATAAGTATAATTAAAATAGTTTGATGATATCAATGATCATGATTCTAATTTTTAAAGTTGCAGTGCATAATATTTATTCAACATGGCCCTAAACACAACAGCACAGATCACAGGGCTACTTAGCTTTTTAAATAACCTATATCTGTTGTTTTTCCATAGCTAACGTGGATTTCCCTCCAAGTCCTCTGGTTAGTAGAGAACATAATTAAATCAAATGTCTAAACCAAAACTAAGTTTAAATAATTCTTTGGGTGATGTCTCAGATGATACATTTTGTATGTCTCTTGTTCTTAAAAGATATCTAGATAATTAGAAGGATAGAAACACATAAGAGGGTTTTTGACCTCGGTTAGAATGAGCCCCTTCCCAAAGTTTCATGCTCTTCTTTGGGTATATGTTGGCAGGAATCTATGTTCCCTTTTTACTGGGGGCAGTCTGCTCTATAGCCACTTGTTAAGGAGGTCTATGGCTCTATAATTGTTCCTTAGCTTGAGCAGTACCTTTCCCGGTCCTTAGCATCGTGTCAGTTCCAGGTAGCACTACAGATCCTCTTCTAGTCAAACATCACACTCATTTCCCCCTTGCTTTTGACATTCCTTTCTGTAGTCTTCAGTCCATTAATCTGTTTCTGACAACTCTGAGTCATTTATGTGATCTTCAATTATATACTGTAGTAGATTATAGCAGATGGAGAGATAACTTCAGTGCTTCCTTGTTCTTGCCCTCACTACTACACCAAATTTATTTGGTGCCACAACTCAGGCAGTATTGTCTCTAACTCAAAAGGCAAGTGGATTATTTCTTTACTTCTTATACCATTTTTTCAAATTTTTATTTATTTCTTTGAGAGGTAGAGTTACAGACACAGAAAGGGAGAGACAAGAGAAAGGTCTCCCATCCACTGGTTCACTCCCCAAATGGCCACAAATGCTGGAGCTGGGGCAGATCTGAAGCCAGGAATCAAGAGCTTCCTCTGGGTCTCCTACAGGAGTGCAGGGACCCAAGCACTTGGGCCATCTTTTATTGCTTTCCCAGTCCATAGCAGAGAGCTGGATCAAAGAAGAGCAGCTGGACAGGAACCGGCACCCATATGGGATGCCAGGGACACAGGCTGGGACTTAGCCTGCAGGCCCATAGCTCAGGCCCCCTATCATTGTCTTTTTAATTCCCGACTCAATCATTCTTTAATGATCTACAAGGGTATCTGCAGCTCCCTATGACAGAATTATAATCAGTAAATCCACCTAACTTGTGGCCAGAATGTTAACAAAGATGTTAAAGAGAAATTTGAAATGACTGGGTACAAACAAGAATTTAGTTTGTTTCTGGTAGAGAGAAAAAATAGACTTAATAGTCACCAACAGAATTTTTTTAACTTATAAAAAGGGGACAGACTTCATATATTTCCTATATAGAGTCCTAAGAGCATAATTAAACTTCCCAGCCTATCCTCCCTCCCTTCATATTCCTCCCCTTCCTTCTTCTTTCTCTCTTATTTTCTTTTAATTTTTGCAATGACATACTTTCAATTTACTTCATAACCAGAAGCTTAACCCTCCACTCAATAAGGAATTGAACAAGTAGTAAATAGAAAAACCTCTGTTCTTCAAGAGTATAGACAAGGACTATAAACAATAATCAAACCTCAAACTATAAATTTCACTCCTATACATTATATATTTTTGTACTTTGCATATTACCACAGTTCAGGTAAAATATGATATTTGTCTTTTGGCGACTGGTTTACTTCACTAAATATAGTGATCTTCAATTGTATCCATTATGTTGAGAATGACAGGATTTTATTGTTTTTTTGTGGCTGAAAAGTATTCCTTTGTGTATATATACCACAATTTCTTTATCTAGTCATCAGTAGATGGACATCTGGGTTGATTCCATATGTTAGCTATTGTGAATTAAATTAGAATAAATATGAGGGTACAAATAACTCCTTCATATGCTGATTTCATTTCCTTTGGGAAAATTCCCAAGAGTGGGGTGGCTGAGTAATACGGTTGATCTATTTTCAGATTTCTGAGGAATCTCCCAAATGTCTTCCATAACGGTGGTTGTACTATTTATACACTCCCAACAAGAGTTTACTAGGGTAACTTTTTCCCCACATCCTTAACAAAAATTGTTTTGTTTTGTTTTGTTTTGTTTTTGAATTTTGGATGATAGACTTTTTTTTTTAAACTTTTATTTAATGAATATAAATTTCCAAAGTACAACTTATGGATTACAATGGCTTCCCCCCATACCGTCCCTCCCACCCACAACCCTCCCCTTTCCCACTCCCTCTCCCCTTCCATTCACATCAAGATTCATTTTCGATTATCTTAATATACAGAAGATCAGCTTAGTATACATTAAGTATGGATTTCAACAGTTTGCTCCCACACAGAAACATAAAGTGACAAATAATAGATGATTTTTTAAATGATGATGAAATCAGAGCAGACCTATTGTCATGTTTAATCCCAGTGAGAGTCAAGTTGGGAATTGATAATTTTTTTTTTTTTTTTACAGAGGATCAGTTTAGTATGCATTAAGTAAGGATTTCAACAGTTTGCAGCCCCATAGAAACACAAAGTGAAATATATTGTTTGAGTACTCGTTATATGACTTATTTATTTGAAAGACAGAGTTACAGAGAGAGGTAGAGACAGAGAGAGAGGTCTTCCATCTGCTGGTTCACTCCCCAGATGGAGCTATGCCAATCTGAAACCAAGAGCCAGGAGCTTCTTCTGGGTCTCCCATGTGGGTGTAGGGGCCCAAAGACTTGGGCCATCTTCTACTGCTATCCCAAGTCATAGCAGAGAGCTAGACCAGAAAAGGAGTAGCCAGGACAAGAACCAGCACCCACATGGGATGCTGGCGCTTCAGGCCAAAGCTTCTAGTCCCGGTTGGGGCGCCAGATTCTGTCCCGGTTGCCCCTCTTCCAGGCCAGCTCTCTGCTGTGGCCCGGGAGTGCAGTGGAGGATGGCCCAAGTGCTTGGGCCCTGCACCCCCAAGGGATACCAGGAGAAGCACCTGGCTCCTGGCTTCGGATCGGCATGGTGCGCCAGCTGCAGCACTCCGGCCACAGCGCACCAGCAGTAGCAACCATTGGGGGGTGAACCAATGGAAAAAGGAAGACCTTTCTCTCTGTCTCTCTCTCTCACTGTCCACTCTGCCCATCAAAAAAAATAAATAAATTCAACAGGAAGATGTGACTATTATAAATGTTTATG